ATTATGGACAATTTGTTTACCATTCATAAAAGGCCAGCACTGTGGTCTTAAGACTACCCAAAAGGTCACTTAAGGCTACCTAAGAAGTCACGTAGTTCTACCTTCTGTCTCTTGGTATGGCTGTCTTTCTTATTCCCAGTGAAAGATTGTCAGATTTTTTAGCCAGGTTTCCAATTAAGAGTAACTTAAAATCTTGCTCAGTGACATGTTTCAGTGATCAAAAGGTTGCAATAAATCGAGTTTCCCTTACGACGATTAAAATACCTGATCCATCCTCACTATTGACGGCAGTGTGAAGTCACAGCCTCCTTTGAATGCTCTGTGTACCAGAGGGCCAATACCCTCAGTTTACTCTTCTGTCTCCATTATCTTTTTGACTTTGTTTCAATGTTCCAGTAGTTTCATTTCTGAAGAGTTTCTTATATATATATAAAATTCAGGCAGTAAAGCTTTCATTAAGTTTGAAAATATAGAGAAACTTATTTTAATTTTTGACTTGAAGGACATTCTACCAGTTAGTTAGGCTATAAGCACTGGAGCTTGACTCTGACAATTTTTTTTTAAGATTGTTGGAAAAATACAGGATGCCAGGATATCTCAGGTTCACAGAGTCTCGGTAAAGAGAGCGCCAGGGAGCCCAGAGCAAGAATTAATGAACAGCCTGTAACAGTGCCCTGGAACAACTCGTGGCCAGTCGTCTTTCATCTTTGTCCCTCTGCTCAAGAGTCAAGCACTGGAGTTAGCCTGGCTAAAGTTCAGTGTGGTGTCCAGCTCTTGGCTGGGGACCAGGGCTCTTTGCTTGACACTCACCAAGACTTCACAGAACAGGAGAGGGGTAGTTCCCAAAAGAGAATGAGGATGTAGTTACCAAAAAACGGAGGGGTACTGAACAGGTGAAAATACTCTCTTAAGTCACTTGGCTCGCTGCTGCTCAAGGACAGGCACCATGCCACACTAATCCCTTATCAATGCATCCCACCCCAAAGCCAGAGACAGGTTAGGCCTTTAGTAGAAGTTAGTTCACTTGAATAAAATGAACTCTGACAAAGCTGAAGAATGCATCATCCTGGTGAATGGTCTCCACCATCACTCCTGCCAAGTCATCCGGTACACACTTACATGTAGAATAAAAAGCTCTTAGCATGCCCTATTTTTTTTCCTCCAGCTTACTTCTAACAAGTAGTTCTGGTCATGTTTTCTCTTCAGTAAGTTTTCCTTTAAATATCCACCTTCAAAGACCTTCCCTCCCTCTAATTCTCTCCGCCTCAGTACACTTGCCCCAGTACTGGTAGAAATAAAGGAAACCCAGGGAGGTAGAAAAAGAACTTGCGCATCTGGAAAGACAGAAGGAAAACAACTGCTGGGTCAGAGAGGCTGATGTTTCCCTCCCACCTTCCTTAAGTTCACACAACTTTTTAGTAGCAGAACTAGGGCTGAACTGGTCTTCTCCCAGTTCTTTCTCCCAGTCCAGGGTTCTTTCCATGACCATGGTGCCTCCCATGCATTTGTGCTGAGTTTTCACAACTTGTTACTAATGTAACATTATCACCTAGACACAACTTTTAAAAATTAGAGGAAACGTTGGTTTCCTAAACAGTTTAACTCCACTGGAAGTTATTTCAATATATCAAAGGACCAGGGTCATCATTATATCCAGTACTACTTGTAGCATAAAAGTACATTTATAGAGCAGAATTTAGCAACATGCCTTAAAAGTCTATATATACTTTGATTTAACACTTCGACTTTTCAGAATTTGTACTAACAAAATAATCAGTTATGTAAAGAAATTACAGGGTATTTACTGCAGCATTAATTATAATAGTGTGAAACCTGAAATAACCTAAATGACCAACAATAGGGGAGTAGTTAAATCAAATAGGGCACCCATACAATGTGACATCATACAACATCAAAATTATTATAAAGTATTAAATGACATGTAAACATGTCGATACATTTACACTACACTGCAGAGTACAGAATAACTTTTGCCAAAAAGAATTTTCTTTACTCTAATTTTTCTATAAATAACATTGTTGGGTTTTAAATTATAAATAATTTTTAAATGAAAGTTATTTTTAATTATCTTACAGCTGTAGGAATGTGAGGAATAGAGCTATGGTTGAAAAAATGTCAAATATGTTTTCTGTAGAAACCTCTTGATACAGTAAGTCCTTTTAATGTCATAGATACGTTCTTGGAAACTTTGACTTGAAGCAAAGGATTTACAAATGAAACATCGCCAAACTTCTAAATAAAGACCCAAAACACTTCTAATATTAAACACTGAAAGAAATGTGAGCTATCCATACATTTACAAAAGATTAGTAAAAACAAGTAAGACAATTCTTTTCTTACCCACTTATCCAGTTCAGGGGCACAGGTGACCAGAGCCGGGTGCCTCTCTTTCTCTCAGACTGGGACACTGAGACATGCCAATTCATCTGATGTCCACCTCTTTCAGACATGGGAAGAAATCCCCAGAGTCTCGGGAGAAAACACATGCAGTGGCTCTGGCCCAGAATCCATTTCTCCCCCCATCAATGTCATAACAAAACGATGCTGAACCAAACAACAAATGAAATGACGTAAAATGCCATCTTTTGAGGGACTGCTGTATTCCAAAATTCTACTTGTTCACGTCTTAAGGTTAACACTGAATTACACATTAAAAAATGTTTTTCCACCTTACTTCTAACAATTAGTTCTGGTCATGTTTTCTCTTTAGTAAGTTCTCTATTAAATCCCACCTTCTAAAACTTTGTTCTCCCTTAGATACTTCTCTTCTGTAACAGAAGGAGTAGCACAAACCTGTGATTTGGGTTACCTTTGTGAAAGAAAAAACTGCCAGACATACTGAAATGCTGGTTGCTACAGAAAATAAAATTGCCCCTGTACTATGGTAAACTCTTCTCTTGAGTCAATTAAATGGCTCTCTGGAATGCTAATATATGTGTCTGATATCATTCTGAAGTCTATAAAAGTTACAAAACAAGCAGGAGGCCTCTAGAAGCTAAAAAAAGCAAGAAAATGGATTTTCCCCTCAAAGGCTCCAGAAGGAATGCAGCACTGCTGACTGAAATGGAAACAGTTCACGTCCGCTTGATGACTTCCTCCAATATCCTTCTAAGAATGCACATCTCAAAAAAAAAAACCCTAAAACTAAATTGACTTCTGATACATACACAAATGCAGCCTAAATTGAATATCACACACAAATGTTTAAAATACTAATTTTATTTAAAAAGCACTTTATATTTGTATTAGCTCAAGTAACCAATCGCTTAATTTTAAAATGATGTAGCCTGATGATATCAATTAAAATATGGATTTTTTTCATTCATTCAACAAATATTTGAGCACCTACAAGTGCCAAGCATTCATTGGAGATATAGGCTAAACAAGAGGATCCCTGCTCTCACGGAGTTTACATTCTAGCAGGAGGGCAGTATTGAAGAAATGTTTGTATTTCTTATAAACATATGAGACAGAGAAGTAATAGAAGGAATAGATGGTGCTTTACAAGAGCGCATTGTAGGTGACCTACCCAGCCCAGGGAAGTCACAGAGACAAAAAGATAAGTGTTTAAGAAGTAGGAAGAGTAGAACAGTTTAAGCAGAAGGAACTTTGTAGACCTTGAGGTGAAAGGACTTCACAAGTTCAAGGAACTAGAAGTTTAGAATGACTAAAGCACCAAGTGTAAAAAGGAGTCAAGGAGATGAGACTGAAGAGGTGAAGATCAAGATCACAGAGGGCATCAGGGGCCTGGCAATTCTACAGGGAACCAGTGAAAGATTTAAGTAAGGAAGCGACATGACCAGATGTGCATTCAGAATGGCCATACTAATTCCAGAGCGATAGAGAAATTAGAGTAGTTAAGACTGAATGCAAGTAGACCACTTCCAATGCCTGTGGTAGTTAAAGACAAAAACAATTGGGGGAATTCAAGCGATAGTTAGGGGCAAAATCAAATGAACCTGCTAACTGAATCTGCAGTTCCTGTAAGATAATCAGTGCAGATATCCAGTAGACCTGTTAGAGATGCAGGTTTTAAATTATAAATTTAAAGCTCAGGGATGAACTGTGTTAAGAATTGCTGACATAAGAATCATCCACATTTAGATGGCGACAGAAGCCATAAGAAGGGCTGAAACGGCTCAGCAAGAATAAATCAAACCATGAGAAATATGCACATTTAAAAATAAAATGTGCTAGGGGCTGGGGAGAGAAGGAATGGGGAGTTAGTGTTTAATAACAGTTTTAGTTTGAGAGGCTGAAAAGTTCTGGAGATGGATGGTGGTGATGGTTGCACAACAGTGTAAATGTACTTACTGACACAGAACTGGACACTTAAAAATGACTGAAATGGTAAATGTTATGTATATTTACCACAATTTTTTAAAAATGAGATACTTTTGTGTTACTTGTATCTCGTAGAATAAGAATGTATTCATTATTACTCATGAAAAATCAGGACAAATGGTGAAGGGGTGAAAGAATCAGCAGAGGAAGGGGGGCCTGCAAAGGAATCTGAACAAGAATGGACAAAGAAGTTCGTTGAAAACCTAGAATGTTACAACATGGAAGCTAAAAATAGCATTTGTAGCAGGAAGTGTTCAACTGATTTGAATGTACAGAGAATTAAGTCAGATAAAGTCAGAAAAGAACCCACTGGTTTCAGCAACATGGAGGTCAATGGTGGCCCTGGAGAGGGCCGCTGGCAGTGGAAGCCAGCAAGGGGTAGGGTGAGGACAGAATGGGTAGGAAATAGAGCCCTGAGAGCAGACAGCAAAAAAGCCTATTATGGGAAGGAGTAGCATGGTAGATGGAGGGAAATATGGGAAGGAGTAGCATGGTAGATGGAGGGAAATATGGGAAGGAGTAGCATGGTAGATGGAGGGAAATGTGGGAAGGAGTAGCATGGTAGATGGAGGGAAAATAGGTACTTAAAAAAAATAAGTGTGTTAAAATATTGTGCATAATCAGCAAAACAGTCATTTCAGTAGAAATACAACTTTATATTAATAGCCTTGATAATACCTGGAATTTAAAACTTACAGAACTTTTCATACTACTTGTGGTTTAGAAAAAATAATGGTAGGTATTCTTTTCATTTTATGGGTGGTAAAGCTGAGCCACAGAAAAATCAAAGAAAATTTACAAGGAATTGAGGTTCATCAAATAAATATCTTCGCTGACCTTTTTTAAGGTAGAAAATTACAATGTAATTTGTTAAAAAAAAAAAAAAAGCTTTTACTATAATAATCACATGTTGAAAAGTCTAAAATTTTAATGCTATTAATATATTAATTTTTGGTATATGTCCAAAAATTAATATTCCAGTTACAGCCTGAAGATGCCAAAGTCAGTCTTGATATTCCAGTTACAGCCTGAAGATGCCAAAGTCAGTCTTCTGGATTGGCGCATTGAGGGCTGCACTAAGACTGAGACCCAGGACCAGTCTGGTATCCACTGGATCAATAATCCCATCATCCCACAGCCTGATAAAAAAACAAAACACGAGTGAGTAGGAATCCACCACTAAACTATCATTTATACAATCCCTACCCAGAAGCTCAGAGAAGGTTTTCCTTCACATAGATATAGATTTACTGATTCACTTCTGTGTATTATAATCTCGCAGCTGAAACCATGTTTAAGAGAAGGGAGAAAGGGAGAAAGAAAAATGAACTGACTTTCAACCCAGACCCCAACAGAACGTCAAATCAAGTCTATGGCTTTAAGAACAGCTTGCTACAAGAAACCACAAAATAATCCCTGGTTTAAAAATATTTTTACTTATTTGAAGAAAAACTTTCCTGTCCCTCTTCTGCCCACACAAACATACAAATCAAATTGATGTATTCCCGTTAATAATATGAAGAGCCACATAAACCCATATAATAGTCCCTACTGCAAAAGGTGTATTCCCCAAAACTCCCCCATCTCTTAAGAAACTATTAAAATTATTGAATAGACTTCAGTATATTTTATTAATAACATACCATCATATGTAGTTCTTTATTTTTTGCTACAATAGGAAATACAAGTAATAGCTTTAAATTGCTTTCAAAAGAAACTTTTAAGTAGAAATTTTAGTTTACTTTTCACTGACAACCTCAAATTTATAAAGAAATATGAATGAGAAATATTGCTTTTTTAAAGCAGTATTTTAGTAGGTGGCAGTTTTGCTTTTTTTAAACAAACTGTCTTCAATATCTGGACACAGCATCAATTATTAAACCATACTTACATTGACAGACCATGAATCAAATCTCTACTCATAAAACATTCATAATAGGGACCCTGCGGTATCAACAGCCAATTAAAAAAAAGGCCACTCATGTAATTTGTAACCAGGTCAATTGATTACAATCCCTTCTGAAGCCTACAGCAGAGTAACACAGCAAAAACAGTGATGCAGAGGTATGGTGGGGGTACTGCTTCGTGATCGTCATTAAAAAGACTGCTCCAGATTAGAGGCTTTAATCAAATGCCTGAGAAGTTTGATTATAAAAACTGAGAATTAAACTGGCATACTACATATGTAACATGTAAAGATTAAGAAAAGCACAGGAAGTTACAGTGGCAGATGATGACAGCACTCTCTGAAAAGACAGATCAAGCCATGTGAAAGCCTAAACAGACCAGAGAATTTTCTTGTTAAGCTGAGATTTATTAAACCCAAGGAAGGTACCATAAACTGGCTTGAAAAATCCTTTCATCTTTGAAAGAAAGTTGCTGTCTCCATGCTACCAAGTGTTACAATAGAAGGCTTAAGCATCTACAGATAGTAACGGAAAACTATAATTGTCTTTCAATATTTATTTCCAAAGATATGTCTATCTGGGCCATTTGCTCTCCTGCTTTAAATATAATCCATTAAAAAAATAATGTAAGTATGAAAATAATGAAGGATTCAGTCTTTTTCAAAAAATGGCTTAGCCAGGGCTGAAAAATAAATTAATGGCTCACACAAAATATGCTATTTTTCAAAGTTTAATATTTCAGCTGTCGTGAGTTTCAGTTAAAATCTTATGTTAAAAAAACTGTAGGTGTATTTACAATACATATTTTCTCTTAAACCTTTTATATGGTTTTCTACTTCCTCTTTGTTTCTACTGGCTACTATAAAAAGAAGCACATGATTATTTCAAATCAGAGGCTATATTTTGTTCTTAAGTCAATGAATCAATGACCCGCTCCAACAAAATTGGTTATTAAAAAAGATATAAACAAGAAGAGAAACAAGCTTTTAAAAAATCTCAAATGGTATTATTTGAATTCTGAAACTAGTTATACTCTTAAAAATAAGTATGTTTGGTCTTTGAACATAGGTTCAAATGATTGAAATGGATCCTAACTTTGATTTTCTATTCTCTCTCCTCTCCAGTTTGCCTTCACCATTAAATGGCATAAATCACAGCATAACATAATTTCAAAAGACAAAAATAGTTATTTTCTTTTTTCCATCTGCCTAAGGGATAAAAGGAACCCATGAAGCTTACTCTTCAGAATGAAGAACATTAAAGTTGTTGGGAAAAAGCGGTCTGAAAAGTACATGCCAGCAAGTTTCCAGCTGGGACAGGCCATGATCATTTATAACCTTATTAAGTGAGATAAGAAACAAACAGAACCAAGAGCTGCATAGGTATATGAAGTAATTACTTGATATTGACACAGGGACCCTCACTGTGACTAATGCACGAGCATAATTGTTAACAAGTGCCAAAAAGTATTCAATCAATCAACCAATCTCATGCTTAAAATGAGGTAAAAACAAAATAATCAAAGAGAGGGGGATGATAGGAATCCATGGGTTTAGCAAAAATTATAACGACTAATTCCTGAAAATGACACAGTCAGAATTATAAGTCTTAACTTCCCACCCCATTGTGGTCCACCTCTGGCTGCAGGGCCCATCCAGGCCCCAGCACCTAAAGGAGGAATGGGATAAAGGAAGAGGAGTGAAGGGTGGCAGAATCAAACCAACGGTGGGAGAAGGGACTGTGTTTCACAGCAGGCATTCCCATTATAGGGACAACAGTACAAAATTGTCTAAACATTATTTTTTGGTTCCATCCCGACACCCAGATCCCTGTAAAGCTGCTGCCCTGACTGCCAACATGCACCCGTCAAGGAGTTAGTTATTCTCTGGCTCCCACCTTGCACTGGAATAGTAAGGGTTTCCTTGTTCTTCAAACTTCTTAATGACGCGCTCTTTTAAAGCGGCTTCATCAGCACTGGAGAACTGAAAGAAAAGGGGCTACGAGTAAGTCTGTTGCAGTAGAACAACAGACCACTCAAAAGAACCTCGAGAAAAAAGGAGCAACAGATATTGCGAATAATGTCACAACCGCATCTGCACAGAGGTGTATAGATTACAAGTGCTTCTTTAACATACATAACATACACCTGAGATATAAGTATCAAATAGTGCACCCTTATATCACCCTTATCAGAGACAACATCCTGAGGCTGTTTAATATAAGGTCAAAAACAAGGATATCAGGTATTCCAGCAGGGTAAAACATGGATGTGAATTATCCAATATAACAAAAGGGTTAGATTACATTTAGCAGCTTCTGTTTAAAAAGGTGGAGAAGTAAGAAATTTTCATTCAAAATAGCCAAAATTCTAAACATTTTAAAGCTTAAAAGGATAAAACCTCAACCACACTTTGAGTAACCTCTTTGATTTCCCAGATAGCTGAGATATATTTTTCTCTAATTAAAAATTTAATGGCTTGTCCATGAGTATTGCCAGAAACAAGTGATTATTAACTCAGATGTAAAAATCTTTACGCAAATTAATTCTAAAACCATGAAAAGTATTTTCAACTTATTTCAAATAAATTCAACCTTCTTTTATGTAGTTTCACAGTTTAATTATAAGTCAAGATTTCAGAGAGAGAACCACTAAAATCCTGTACTTTCATTTCACACACAGAAAAAGATGAATTTATACATATGTATATCACATTAATCAAAGAACAATTATTTAACAAGAGATTATCATACTAGGCTAGAGTTTAAAACAAACATATCTTCAAAAATATTAGACTCCCCACCCACACACACACACACACACGTAAAGCTTTCCTTTTGCTTGGGCACTAAAGTAAATCTGAAACCTCAATTTAAGTCTGCAAAGTGCCTGCTGCTTGGAAAAGATGACTGGGGATGTGAGGCGTGTGTGGGATGTATTCAGAGAGGCAGGAACCAGCCTCCAGCTTTATACTATTCCCATTCCACAAACTAGGCAATTGACCAGCTGCTCCCTAAATGGCAAGACTGAGAGCCTGAGGAGACAGGGCCTCCTCCATTTTATGTCTTGTTATGATGAAACAGAGCACATAGCAATTTCAGGAACATACAATATCATTTTAAGATTTGAGGCTTATGCAAATAGTTAAAAGCTAGAACCAATAAAATTAATGCAAAATGTCAGAAGACTCTCTAACAGAGACACAAACAAAGGAATTCATTTTAAAAATACAACGTGCTGATGTGCCTTTCATGAAGCTTCCAGAGAGCCCTTTCCATTTTTCCTCATTTATACTTTAACAGTATAATAATGTTAATCAACTCGCATTAGATGACTGAGCCCTCCCACTCAAGGTACCCTTAAAAACAATCTAAAAGTAAAATAGAAAAAACAAAATTCTTCTGCTTTAGGTCATAACATCAAAGAAGTAAATCAGATTTATTTAAAGCTCACTGACTGCGAATGACTAAGAATCAAACATCTTTATGCCTCAGGCACTTGCAGGCAGTTCCTTGAAGTGTTTTCTTGGGATTCTGAAAATTTTGTAAATTATCACAAGAAGGTACCTCAAATGAAATGGCTCTTAAAAAGAGACAAAGAATGTATAAATCCAAATTCCTGAAACAACTTCCAGGTCAGCATCTTCCAAAAAGCCAGGGCCTGCACGTTGGACTCTTGACCCATGAAGCCAGCGAGCAGTGCACCTCCAATATGTCTGGATGCACTGCTCGCTGGCTTCAGGGTGTCTGAAAGCCAAACTCAGAGACTGAGGAGAAATGGCATTTACCTGTTTCCCTTCCTGTGCATTTTGTTCCTTTTTTACTGTTGCCAACACATTGGCTGCCTGCTCTCCTCCCATCACTGAGATACGAGCATTTGGCCACAGGTAAAGAAATCTTGGGCTATGGGGGAATAAAAAGAAAGAAAGATCAAATTAATTCATTGCACAACACAGGGATTTTCAGAGGCCCATGTTTAATTTTTAAATTAGTGGTTCTTCATTCTAGCTGCACGTTACAATCATCTGGGGATTAAGAAAATACACCAATGCCTGGAACCCACGCCAGACTAATCTGCAGAGGTGGTGCCTGAACATGGTTAGGGTTTTTAAGTTCTCCAGGCAATTCAGATATCTGTTTTGACAAATTGTGTCTTTCCATTTTATCTAAATTTACTGGATATAAAAGTATTCAAAGTATCCTCTTATTATCTATGGTCATGTCTATTTTCCATTCCTGATATTGATTATATGTGCTTTCTTGAGCTGGCTACTTGGCTCATTGATTTTCAACCTTACTTCTTTCCCATGATGTATATTTAAGTCTACACACCTTTCTTAAAGCAGGACTTTAGCCACATCACACAAGTTATGATATATAATATTTTCATTATCGGCCATTTCAAAATATTTCCTGATTCCCACTGTGGACTTCTTCCAAGTAGTACCCTTAGTATTAAATTTTATTTCACTGCTCTAGATGATATAGACTATGGTAAAACTGATCAAAACTTGTGAATGCCATTCTATATTTCAAATAAACCTGACCATTTATAATTATACTTAAAGTATGATTCTTTCAGAGAAAATCAAGACAATCACCCACCTAAATCCTCTGCCACACATCCCATAGTTTCCAGCCCCAAAAGATCCCCCAATGATGACAGTTATCTTAGGTACATTGGCACAGGCTATGGCAGCCACCATCTTGGCACCATCCTTGGCAATTCCTTCAGCTTCAAATTCTCTACCAACCATAAATCCTATGAGAAAGAACAGAAAGAGAGCCTCTGGGTGACAGGATTAATGTGCAGAAGTCAATTCCACCAAGGTAGTAGAAGGACATTTTGTCAAATTCTATTTTACTACACGCCTCCCACCCTAACAAAATATTTATCTGTGAAATACATCTCCCAAATTTCGCTTTAAAAGATAAAATTTAATCGCTTTAGAATTTTTCTTCAAATGGTTCATCTGGATGCACACAGAAAGATCTTCAAACGAGATACAGATGCAATTTATCTTCGAGAAATTATCTTAAAATAGTAGCCTGGTGATGAAAGAACGTGACATGGCAAGCTAAGGAAAAACTACTGTGGCAAGCCAAACTGTAAGGGCTTCAGTATTCACTGACCTGGTTTAAAAATACATACTGTTCCTTCTGAAGTGCTGCTTTAAAATTTTGATGAAATAAGATTAATGTTTCATAGAGATGTTAAGAGTCCTTGTCAGAGTGACTCAATAGCAAGGTAAAAAAATAATTCATTATCATTAGGGATCTCTCTACTTCTTTAAGTTCCCAGTTCTGTTAGAACTGGTCTGCAGCCGCACTGGGCCCTCCAGGCCTTGGGCTCCTTCCTCTTCACCTAATAAACACTAAGTCAGGCTTCATGTGTCTCCCTACTTGACTATCACTGTTCTCGCTTTGCAGATCTCCGGCGGTAGATCATCCAAATGCATTCAACCAGTTTTTATGGAGCACCTGTACTTGCTATGGATACAAAAGTAGTAACAGGGCAGCCCTTACTCTTACCAGGCACCACCTGCTTCCTCCAGCTACCCCTCTGAGCGGCGCCATCAGAATAGCTCAGAACTCCTTTCTCTACCTTATCTTGACTGCCTGTGATATTCTCACAATAGCTATCTCAAATATTGACTAAGCTCTCACCCACCACCCTGCTGCCCCTCTAGTTCCTGCAGATGATTTTGCCTTAAAAAAAAAAAAGACTGAAGCCATCTCACTTCGCTTTTTCCAGTCCTTCTCCTTCCCACCTTAAAAAAACAACATAATCATATTCCATTTCTTCCTTTACTCTCATCTCGATGGAAGAAATTAGAGTTACTCACAGACTGTCCCTGAGCCCTCTTCTCAGGGCATTCTTATCTCTTCACACAGCCTTAAATTCCACCTCCATATTCTAATGATACCTGCACTTTCACCTCTGACTAACATACCTTTCTGTGCTCAAAAATTTTCAGCTGCCTATTATATATCTCCAAATGGATGTCACACAAGTCCCTCAAATGCAATGTTGCAAATCCAAATTCAACCTATGAATAAATGAATGAATGAATGAAAAACTAATGAACTAACTAAATAAAAACAAAAACGTAGGACTCTGCCCAGCACACAGTTTAACTTACTGGTGGTTCATAAATTATGAATCATTGTTAGAAACAAGGCTGCTACACTAGTGAAGCTTCAGAATACTTTCTATCTGCCCTTTTATGAGGTTTGCCACAAAGGGCCCTCTCAGGCTTCTGTCTGGATATAACTTCTCGCAAAACTCATCTAACCAAGTATCTTAAACTTAAGCTGAAGATGCTTTAGCACCAGTACTATTTATAGCCCTGCTGCCTGTCAAGAGCCAAACTCCTTCTTGTGAAGCTTTGCCTGATCCCAACAACTAATTAAGAGCCTCTTCTTCCTTCAAGCCTGAGATAACCATGAATGACTTAGAAGACTGAGTAAAAAGGACATTTTCAGCTAACCCACATATTTGAGTGCCTCCAATATGTCAGGCACCATGCAACATACAAAGTATAAATAACAGAATCATGGACTTCTAGGAAAAATAGCTCTAGACCCATAAGAAACCTTAAAAATCATTCCATCCACTATGTTAAGATCATCTATGGAACATGAAATCCAGAGGGTCGACACTGGTCATACCATACTTTGGAGTCAAAAGTTAAACCCCCAGACTTTGGTTCAGGATGTGCATTAACACTTTTAAAAGATGTTCTTCAAGTAAAGTTAATTGCACAATAAAAGATGAGGAAAGGGAAGGACCATACCATGTGCTTAAAACCGTCTAAGGAAAACAAACTACTGAGAAAGAGACGATGGGTCAGATTATACCATCCGGCAGTGCTCAGAGTGTTACTGGCCAAGGACAGCGGGCTGCTTTCTAGGTTTGTGGTTATGCACGTTCAGGAGTAAAGGCAGGCCACTCAAATATTTGTGGTGCCCGTAACTCAGAAACTGCTTGACTTAAAAATGTGGATAAACTCCCCAAAATATTTAAGATTCATGAAACATTAACTCTTATAGAGACTCTAGAAAGAGTACGTCCAATAGAACGGAAGTGTTCTATATCTGCTCTGCCTAATACGTGGGCCTTACTGGACAGTACAGCTCTAGAACAAATGCAACCAAACTGATTAACTTATTTTCTCACCACTAATGTTTTGAAGGAACAGCAGAGGGATATTCCTTTGGCAGCATAACTGGACGAAGTGAGCCCCCTATAAGTAAATAAGATAAAAATCTTTTTAAAGTGGTGGTAACAAATCTGTAATCATCATGCATCAAATACCACACTTGGGTGAAAGAAAAGAAAGAATATCCTTTGCTTGGCAGGTCTGACCTTACAGTAGCAGTAAGAACAACACTACTATGTGGACCCATTATCAATGGGGCATGTGACTGTCATTTGTACTGCACTTGTTTCGCATAGTCATCTGTGTGATCACTGGCACATAGCTGAGGACAACTGCTGTGTCAAGGGTGAAGTCAATCACTAACTTTCCAAACAGCAAGTGAAATTTAAGTAACAGAGAAAAAAGGATTGCTTGTCAATAAGAATTTCTGAGCCTTACTATAAAATAATTCTCTAGTTCTCTAATTTAAAAAAATATAGACTATAAACCCTTCAAGGAGATCTATGATGACATTTATATTTTGTAGATCGTCTGAAGTTCTTTTATGCACCAAGGTTATAGTCAAATATCTCTTTCTTACCAATATACTCCAAATAAATGGGATTTTAGATGAGTCCTAGAGACCTTCGAACCTTGAGTTTAGGAAATTCATGACAAAAATATAACTATTCCTTTCTCTATGTTCTGAAGATTATGTAAGAAAGCACTTATAAACTACTTCCTTTATAATTTACTCTCTATCTGCAGATCCCTTTGTGAGAACTGCCTTGGCAAGTACAAAATTGCAAAGGAATGGTTCAACTTCAAGTACAAGAATAAGGAATTTACACAGACGTTTGGGGCTTACTTCTACAAATGAAATGTCAGACTGAGGCCAGACATAACTCCTCAGGGTTTATTTGTGCCAAGCCACCAAACAAAACTAGGTGGAGTTTGTTGGCCTCAGTCTGACATTTCCTCTATTGACATAAGTGTATTATATATTCATTAAAAGTCATTATTTCAGGAATATTTAACATTTTAGGAAACACTCACTATATATACTACTAAATGAAAACAACAAACCTCTATATACAGTCTGCCCTCCGTATCTATGAGTTCCACATCCATGGATTCAAACAACTATGGATCCAAAATATTTAAAAAAATTTTTTTTTACTTTGTTGCTGGTGTGTACTATGTAGTTTGGCCTACAGTACACTGAACATATACAGACTTCTTTTTCTTGTAATTATTTCCTAAACAATATAGTATAGCAACTATTTACACACCATTTACATTCTATTAAGTATTCTAAGTAATGTAGAGATGATTTAAATATAAGGGAGTATGTGTGCAGGTTATAAGCAAACACTACACTACTTTATACAGAAACTTAAGCAACCAAAGATTTTAGTACCCATGCTGGGCTGTGGAACCAATCTCCGCCCCCGCCCTGCAACAGATACTGAGGGACAACTTGCATATGGTAGCACTAATTTTATTTTTAAAAAGGCTAGGGGGAGACAGAAAAAACTAAGGAACCATAATAAAATTTCACGCAAGTTTATTTCTGGTATGAGTGTAGGTGATTTTTATTTTCCTTATTTTTGCTTTCTTGTTTTCATCTTATAATCTCAGTGGAGGAACAATAATGAATAGCAGAATATAGAAACTAACCTTACTGGTAAAACATTCCACTGAAGATAAATTCTTCCACAATTAGAGTCTGAAAGAGCATAACTGCCTATTACCTACATCAATAAAACACCCTTAACCTTGTTATTTATTCTATCACTTGAAGAGGAAAAACAAGGCTAGACTTATTTTTTCTTAAGAAAACATTTTATCAAGTAAGTACATAAATTACATTTATCCAAGTTTAGGTAAATCTGAGACAATGATGTATAAAATTGAATACAAAGCCAAAAGATATTCAGGAATTCCCTCCCTTAAAACCAGAGCTTCAGGAACAAGACCTACTATTTTCCCATTTGCTGCAAAAAAATGAAAACAGTATCAAATTAAAGTGATGACAGGATAGAACAGAATAAACAGATCGTGTCTCAGAACCACCAGGAAAGTATCTTTGAATCCCTCAAGTGCATGAAGCACTAGAGTGAAACTTTCAAGACAATTATTCCTGAATTCTTAGAATATGTACATGTCATCTGTAACAGTTATAATTCAAGCATCTTATAAGAACTTTCAAAAAAAAAAATTGAACTTTTCATAGTGCACAAGAGAGTTCATCATATTCATGTAAATCTCCATAAAAACTGTTTCAAACACTAACACACACACATATATACATGTTCATGTGCACATACATACAGTGTTTGCAAAAGCACCAGATTAAATATTTTATGTAATAAATTTTCATGTATTACTTGATCTTGAAAGTTCATTATGTTTAAATTAAAACAGAAAATCTTGAAACATGTCAAACAGTACTTGCCTTTTTTGCAGATTCACTAAAGAGAACTCCATTATTTCCAATGATACCAACTGGGTATCCAAATATTCTAGCAAATCCTCAAGAGAAAATTGAAAAAAAAGATTTATGTATTTCAGTGGACTTTTAATTCACAGTGAACAGACATATTTAACATTCTTTAATTTCAAATCAAAGTTTAAAATGTAGAGATTTTGTCTATGGTACAAAACAGCTCACGTCACATTCTATTTCTAAGGTACCAGAGTCAGGGGTTTCTGCTTTCTCAAGGGATGTGTTAGATGTAGTTACCTACTTGTCTGATTGGTTAGTTTGGTTGGATTATTCAGTTAGTGTGTCATCCATTCATTCCTGTAACATATATCTGAGTCCCTAGTATGTACCAGACACAAAGGATATTCTGAAATAGAACAAATCAAAGACGCAGAGCCCTTTAAAGCTCAATGTTCAGAGCTGTTGGCCAGTTTCAGGTGACTAGCTTGCCTGAAAATGCCTCTGGTAACAATAGGCCTTTGAAATAAAAGGGATACACTTAGTAAAGATAAATTTTTCTTTTTTTAAAAAAAAGCAAGAACACCATCAAGCCTGGTGGTAACCAAGTTTAAAAAAATCCTGTGATGCTTAGAAGAATAAATCACTCCGATTTCATTTTCTGTTTTCTGTCTGTATCTTCTTCTTTCTCTTTTCCACAAGTTTCATTTATATCTTACCACCACTTCTACTCCCATTCCAAACCCCTACTCTACACACACACACACACACACACACACGGAAAATAAAGGAGAAGAAAAAGGGGAAAAGCTGCTATTTTATGAGGTAGACACTTTAGGTGATTTCAGGAGGCTAATTATTTTGTGTACCTAAAGAACTTGACTAGAGAGACCTTCCCGAGAATGATTTTCAATAATTTTCAATGATTTTTCAATGACATCTATATAGATGTCAAATACTTGGAACCCAAGAGTCAGCAAGCTGTGCTGGCTAAAGTAGGTCAACGAAAGCATGCTATCAAAGCGTGCCACTAAGACACTCACAGTGTGATGCCTGACAGAAAGTAGGTGCTCAAAAAATTAACGGATACAAGAGAATGTCAACCTATTGACAAGTCAGAACACTGAATTTTTAAAGATTTGTTCTTTATTTTGGCCTTGTCTTGATTTTTTAAAAATGTTATGTTACGTTTATTTAATGTGATAAAATGAAACACTGATTTGATGGTCACCTAGATTTCTTTAATCTTTCAGGCCTAAAATCCCAGCCTAAAGTCTATGCTACATACCCTAAGTAGCACTGCCACTTACAGAGGCAATGCAGAGAGGAATGAACTTCCCAAAAGGCCTAGCAATCCCTTCTGAGTCTTGCCCCACCCACAAAAAGAGCTGGGAATCTCACATATCTCTCCACAGTAAGATGCTACCCCTGAAGGTATACTGTCCTCTTAGCTATTTGGACTTTCAATCCTTCCTTAGCCCTGCCTGGGCTCTCTAGGCACAAGCCCTGCTGAGTAAGGCACTAAACTAGGAACAACCATGGAGGAATATACCTTCACCAGCTTCCTACAGGCCAAACAGGAAAGCAAAATACCCAAGAAACTACTAGGGTGACGTATGGCAAGTGCAGAGGCAGGAGGAGACCCCTAAGAGCTGCCAAGGATACCTGATCCTCAGAAAAATCTCTTTTTCTCCCTCCTCACTCACTCCCCGCTGATGGCCCCCACCCTCTCATGGCCCCGCTAATTCTCCTCCTCATCCTCTCATCACTCCCTCAGCCTCTCATTTCCCATCTTCTTCTCATTCCCCTCCTCTTTTCCCAACCTTATTTGAATTCCAGTACAATCAAAAAGAGATGGAGGAAATCAGATATATCCCTACTATTCATGGGGCAAAGGTGCCACAAGTCTTTTAGCAAATACAGGACAAACACATAAAAATAGATGACAAGGACTGTCCATCCATCTTTGAGAAATAAGCAGTAACAGCCTTGACTTGTTTGAAACTGCTGCACAATGAATATTACATCCTGAACTATTTAGTGACAAATCCCATCTATATATCAACCAAAAGCCCTTAATCATTTAATCACCTAACTATAAAAATATAAATTCCACTTCTAGTGTGAATCTTTCTCTTGATCATATATCAGACCAGGAAAAGTGTTGTGACTTATCCTTAAGCCTCAATGTATGTTTGCAATTTGGATTTTTGCAGCTAGTTATTTTTTCTACTCTGATATGTTGTCTTCAGACTAACTGCTACATTTTCAAGCTTTTATAAGACCCACATTTGTTTTGCCATTTGACCAAAACAGATTATGGGTTTAGCATCTATGTTTCAAATACTTTTCTTCAAAGGCCTACAAACTTAACACTTCAGATGAATGAATTAACTTTTATAAACATCCTTATTTTGTTTTTTCAGACTCGGTATTCTGTCCTGTATTCTAATCTAGTATTTGCATAAATCAACATACAACCTACACAGAGGCCAGTGAGAAAGCTTAACTCAGTCTACATCCCTCTGGGAAGCTTAAACATCATACAAAACTTACCGGTTGAATTGAAGACTAAAGAATAAAGGAGACAGTACTGAAATTTTCAAAATAAGTATAGTTATCCAGAGAAACAAAAAGAACTACAAATCTTCCTGCTAATTTTGCTATGATAAGAACCTTTTGTACAACTAATGTCACAATGGGCCTATACCACAGCATCTAAATATTATCTAAAATGTGGATCCATGAAGCCATTCAGCTATAAATGATCTTCACAAAGCAGCGTCCTTTGAATACTGACTCACAAATTTGTACTGCTCTAAATAACAAAGCTCATGCCAGGTGCATCAAACCCTGAGAGGAAATATCACTTATTTTCCAAAAATGTTCACGTTTTCAATTCTTCATACCTGTAATTAATGTGTCTCCATATAAGGCTTTGAACTCACTGAATTTGCTTCCATCCACGATTCTAGCAATGACCTAGGAGGAAAAATAACGATGCTCCTGAGAAATTGTATTACAAAAGAACTGTTGCATTTAAGTTATTTATAAGAAAAACAAATTCATAGTGAAGTTGTCACTTTCACAAAATATCACCCTACACAGAAAATCTTCCCACTAGAATTTCACTTTACATGCATGGTTAATGCCCTGAAGTCATTCTGAGCTCTGATTTTGTTGCAGACCAGAGAAGCAGAGAGCCTCCGTGGTCTGGTTGCTAGATTCAAAGTTTCGGTGGCTGTTCAAATGTATTGGCCAATGGATGGGAATTAGATCAGAAAGCAAGGTATAGTGCTTAGAGTCAGAAGACTTAGGCTCCAACCTAAGATATCACATATGATATACATGTCCTGGAGTAAGTTCTCACTTCTGCAAGGATGGGATAAAGTTGTGAAGATGTAATGACCTAGTAATAAAGGAACCTAAGAAAATAATGTTGAGATATAGGACCAACTCTGACTCCCAGCTCTACCACTGAGGAACTGGAGTCACAGGCTAGTTACCTAAAATCCTCTAAGCCTCAGTTTCCTCATTTGTTTTTTTAAAAAATGATAACACTTAAAAAGTGCTAACTACAGCATACTTCCTGGCTGTTCATTAAAAGGTAGCTATTATTATTAAGTCTTTGAAGGGGTTCAGAACGGACCTCCGCAAGATGTGCCACTTTGGCATGTGGATTATTTTAAGCTGAAGACAACCGAGACCCTGCAGGCTCACAAGAAACTTTTACCTCTCCTTTAAAGAATTTAAATTAGGGGCCTTGCCCATAATAAGAGTAATCACCAGAAATAACTTTTTATGACCTATCTACAAGGGAAGGCAAACTTCTAATTACTGAACATCTGCTCTTCTTATCATCCTGCAAATGACCTTCCTCCCCTCTGAAGCCCCAAAGTACCTTACTCATCCTTACCTCAGAATGCTATATATACCTCATTTTAACTTTCTGTCTCTGAACCTCTCATACATATGGCATCTCTGACTCTCCCTCATGTATGTTGGGTTTCCCTACGTACAGATGTAATTAAATTTGGTTACTGTCGTCTATGGCCATGCCATTAAATTTGGTTATTGTTGTCTATGGCCATGTCACCCTGAACAAGCCTAATCCCATCTGATCTCGGAAGCTAAGCAGGGTAGGGCCTGGTCAGTACTTGGATGGGAGACCACCTAGGAAGACTGGGTGCTGTAGGCATAAAAAATAAAAAATAAGGGACTATAAGCTGACAAGGTCCTTGCAATCTGTAAGGTCAACCAAGGGTTGCCTCGCCTAAAAAGAATATAATAAAAATAAAATAAATTAAAAAATAAAATTGGTTATTGACTCTTGTTAATCTAATCTGCCTCATGTAGATTTCATTATTAGATCAGCTCAAAGAACCTTGATGGGTCAAGTTTCTTCCACCCCCACACTTTCAATAAAGTTTCACTGTACTCAATAAATACTGTTGAATAAATGCAAAAAGTGGTTATGCTTAAAAGGATGAATTCTTAGCCAATTAGAAAACTTGGCTACCTCAAACAACTCATTTTTCAAGCACATCAGATTGTAAGTACCATTTTTTCTATACTTGTAATCAATTGCAAAGACAAACTAAAATCCTAATTCTAAAACTTAGAGTTAACTAAGTCACCTTGCTAAAGTTAAGCTCCACAAAAATCCAGGATTTAAGACCCTCTAACAATAATAGGGTACTGCCTAAATAAGTAATTGTATACATTCATAAGTGAAATATTATATTCATCGATTCATTCAAAAAAATATTTATTAAGTACCTACCTCGTTGCCAAGTACTATTGTAGGAATTAGGACCTAGCCATGAAAAATATTTTATGAAAAACTTTTAAATAATGAGGAATGTTTATAGTTTAGACTGGAAAAAAGCAGAATTTTATACACACACACACACACACACACACTATCTCGACTACATAAAAAATGTATATATACACATTAAGTCAAAACACCCAAATATTAGCTTTCTATGAATGGTGGAATTATAAGCAATTGTATGTTTTTCTATATTTTCTACATTTTTCACAATTAGTACAATAATAGTTTTATAGTCAATGGGAAAAGTAACAAAATACTAAGGCAGAGAATCTGGCATTATGATAATTTCTTAATTTAAAAAGTACTCTGCCAAATATGGATATTACATTCTATATGTAAACACTAAAAACTGTCCATCTAGACTACAGAAGACTATGTCAACAATTTGTAACCACAGCAACATCTAATGTAATCAAAAGTCTAATCTTCGCTAAGAAAGTATTGAACCAAAAGGTTAAGTTTTTTCTTTCAACGACTTACTGACATTTCATCCATTTTCTGAAATGAAAACATAGAAAAGAAATAGCTGACGTTGCCCTACGTCATTGATAATGTCCACAGGAATATGAAGTACAACTTATGAACAAACCAAGCTTTGTCACTGTGCGATGAAAGCTTTCCAATAATTAAGGGTTTTTCTCTCCTCTCTCTTTTAGAATTTACTGAGTGCCAATGATATCTACACTATGGAAAGTTATCTTTCCCTTAAATGTCACTCCTCACTGAGAGCCGCAACAGTTCCTGGACATGAACGTATCTAAACAGACTTCAGTTTTGAAAATGGACACACATATAAAGAAATTGACAGAAAGGTTTACAGTTCAAGGTTTACACACCTCTCGGATATCAAAATTCCTCTTTAGGTTAGTACCAACTATTCCATACAATTCATCAGAAGGAAATAAAGGATCTTCAGAGGGCTCAATGGTAACCTGCAGAGAATAGAAAAATCACATTAATCAATCTAACACATTATCTTAAGACAACATAAGCTAAAATGTTTTTCAGGAAAAAAAAAAGACAAAAGAACATATCGTGCTCACATCCAATTTCTTCTGATAATTTAGGTTCCTCACAATCTTCCTAGTTAAGTGAAGGGCATGACTATCATCCAAAGCATAGTAGTCAGTGACTCCAGACTTTCTACAGAGTAAAACACAATAATCAGAACAGGAAAAGGAAAATAATTAAATATCTTAAACCCAAATATAATCTTTCATCTAAGGATGACATCATTTTTACTTCCAAAACACTTTAATAAATGTCATCTAATTGATTATCATAATGTTCCTGGAAAACATGGTAATGTCCCTGGTATTATCCTTATTTTATAAACAGGAAAAACGAAGGCACACATAAGAACCTTGTCCTAGGACCACCAGTAGGTGCATAAGAATCCATGCCTTCTATTTCTCAAGTCTGACTTCCTTCTACTAGATGATAGGGCCTTGCTGATGAGGACTTCTATTTAATGTTCATCCTATGTACCTCTAACAAAACTCTAAGTTCAATCACAGATGCGCACTTTTGTGATGCTGTCGGTAACAACAAAAAGTGTACCTAACTGAGCTCCTAACAAAGATGCCAACTACGGCCTCTGATTTATGAGAGATTACTGAGTACCCTCCTTACAAAGTTACAGAGTAAGATGTAATAGGGTAACAAACACAAAGGCTTGAAGACACTGTCCCTCGGATCACGGTAAAAACAGGTATTGATAAGTGGTTCCGTGTTAAGGGCCACGGAAGTTCCTGTTCAACTTCAGATTCAGTATGAATGAAGGTACGGGCTTGCTCTGGTTATTAGTTCTGTTCTGAGTAGATGGTTTGTTATTTCAGATGTAGATATACTATGACTTTCTAATAAAGTATAAAAAAACTATAAAGTCAGGCAAAAATATATACTTAAAAAAATAGAATTTGGTTCATTTTATGAATAAGGACTACGCTGCTGCTATCTAAATTTTGATGTCCTGTCTAGGGAAAATGCCAAATCTTTGGGAGACATTTCTGAGAATTGGGCCCACACAGTGGTTTTGTGTCACTTTCTGCCTCTGGATTGGGTGTCCCTAAATAAGAACAGAGACCATAATTATTCCTCATTAGGACCCTCCAATGCCTTTGCAAATGGCAAATCCTTCCATTTCTTTAATTTAATATGACATTTTACAACTGACTATATCTTTTAAATGCTTCATATATAATACTAGCTACAACTGCTGATTTCTGGCTACACTATCGTAATTCAATAAGCAAATAAAAGAAGAAACTGCTTCTAAGTCAGTAAATATTTAAAATAAAATGCTTTCCTTTAAAAACTACCTATTATTGGGCTTCAATAAATTCAAAAGATTGAAATTATATCAAGCATATTTTGACTGCAATGGCATGAAACTAAAACCAACTACAGGGGAAAAAAAAACTAAAGAAAACACAAATGCATGCAGATTAAATAACATGCTTCTAAACCAATGGTCAAAGAAGAAATCAAATAGAAAATCAAAACCTACCTTGAGACAAATAAAAATGAAAACACAACCTTACAAAATCTATGGGATGAAGTAAAAGCAGTTATAAGAGAAAAGTTTATAATTATACATGTCTACCTAAGAAGCAGGAAAAAATCCCAAATAAACAATCTAAATTTATACCTAAAGAAACAACAAAAAAAGGAACAAACAAAACCCAAAGCAGAAGGAAGAAAATAGTAAAGATTAAAGCAGAAATAAATGAAATAGAAAAATAACAGAAAATATTAAGGAAACTAAGAACTGGTTCTGTGAGAGAATAAATAAAATTGACAATCTTCTACAGAGACTTATAAAGCAGAAAAGAGAAAGAACACAAATAAAATCAGAAATGAAAGAGCAGAGATTACAATCAACGCCACAGAAATACAGAGTCATTAAAGAATACTATGAACAATTATATGCCAACAAATTTGACAATCTAGAATAAATGGATGAAGAAGAAATATATAACTTTCCAAGACTAAACAAGGAAGAAACAGAGAATCTGAACAGACCAATTACTAGCAATGAAATTGAAGCAGTAATTAAAAAAAAAAAACTCCCACAAAAGCCCAGGACCAGACGACTTCAGAGGTGAATCCTACCTAACATTTAAAGAAGAATTAGTATCTATCCTTCTCAAACTAGTCCAAAAAATTGAACAGGAAGGAAAATTTTCAAACTTATTCAATGAGGCCAGCATTACCGTGATCCCAAAACCAGACAAAGACACTGACTACAAAGAAAGAGAATTACAGGCCTATATCTTTGATGAACATAGATGCCAAAATTCTCAACAAAATACTAGCAAACTGAATTCAATAGTACATTAAAGGGATTGTACACCATGATCAAGTGGGATTTATATCAGGGATGCAAGGTGGTTCAACATCCACAAAATAATTACTGTGATTCATCACACCAACAAAACCAAGGGTAAAAATCTTATGATTATCTCAATAGATGCAAAAGAAGCATTTGACAAAATTCGACATCCATTTATGATAAAAACTCTCAACAAAGTAGATATAAAAGAATCTTACCTCAATTTGATATAGGTTATATATGACAAGCCCACAGCTAACATCATACTTAATGGTGAAAAGCTGAAAGCTTTTCCTCTAAGATCAGGAACAAGACAAGGATGTCCATTTTCACTACTATTATTCTACATAGTACTAGAAGTCTTAGCTACAGCAATCAGACAAGAAAAAGAAATAAAAGGCATCTAAACAGGAAAAGAAGTAAAACTGTCACTATTTGCAGATGATACTATATATAGAAAACATTAAAAAATGAATAGAATAAACGAATTCAGTAAAGTAGCAGGATACGAAATTAATACATAGAAATCTGTCACATTCCTAAACACTAATAACAAACAATCAGAAAGAGAAATGAAAACAATCCCCTTAAGGACCTTGGATTTAAAGAGGATTTTATGAATTTGACCTCAAAAGCAAGAGAAGTAAAAGTTAAATAAATGAATGGGACTATTTCAAACTAAAAAGCTTCTGCTCAGTAAAAGAAATCTTCAACAAGGTAAAGAGATAACCATTCGAATGGGAAAATATATTTGCAATCAACACCTCTGATAAGGGCCTAATATCCAAAATATACAAAGAACTCATACAACTCAATAACCCAATCAAAAAAGGGGCAGAGGGCCTGAACAGACACTTCTCCATAGAGGACATACAAATGGCCAACAAATATTTGAAAAGATGCTCAACATCATCAGCTATTAGGGAAATGCAAATCAAAACCACAATGAGATACCATCTCACACCTGTCAGAATAGCTATAATCAACAGGACAAGTAATAACAAATGTTGGAAAGGATGGAGAGAAAAAGGAACCCTCATACACTGCTGGTGGGATTGAAAATTGGTACAGCCACTATAAAAAACAGTATGGAGGTTCCTCAAAAAACTAAGAATTGATCTACCATATGATTCAGCAATCCTTCTACTGGGTATTTACCCCAAAGACTTGAAGGGGCCAGAACATGGAATTAACTGAAGTGTCCTATGATAGATGATTGGCTAAAGAAACTGTGGTACATATATACAATGGACTATTACTCAGCCATAAGAAGAGATAAAATACTGCCATTTGTGACAACCTGGACAGACCTCGAGATAATCATGCTAAGTGAAATAAGCCAGACAGAAAAAGTTGAAAATCACACGATAACACTTATATGTGAGATATAAACCTAAAAGCAACACATGAACAGAACAAACAAACAGAGACACAGACTATAGACTAGTGTTTAGCAGAGGGTGGCGGGGGGAGGGAGGGAGAAGGAGGAGGGAGTTAGACAGGGTAAAGGGGGTCAAATATGTGGTGACAGAAAGAAATCTAACTATGGAAGGTGAACATACAGTGTAAATATATATATGCCTTACTGTTACAGTGTACAGCTGAAAGTTACTGGATTTCGTTAACCAATGTCACCATAAAAATAATTAATTAATTTTAAAAAAAAGAAAACAATCCCATTTACAATTGCATCAAAATGAATAAAATACCTAGAAATAAACTTAACCAAAGAGGTGAAAGACCTCTACTCTGAAAACTGTAAAACACTGAAGAAAGAAATTAAGAGGACACAAATAAATAGGAGGATATGCCATGCTCATGGATAAGAAGGATTAATATTGTTAAAATGACATACTACTCAAAGCAATGTACAGATTCAATGCAATTCCTATCAAAATTCCAATGTCATTTTTCTCAGAACTAAAACAAATAATCCTAAAATTTTTATGGAACCCCAAGAGACTCTGAATAGCCAAAGCAATCTTGATAAGAAGAACAAAATTGGAGGTATCACACTCCCTGATCTCAAACTATACTACAAAGCTATAATAATCAAAACAGTATGGTACTGATACAAAAACATAGCACATAGATCAATGAAACAGGATAGAGAGCCCAGAAATAAGTCCTCACTTATATGGTCAACTAATCTATGAGGAAGGAGGTGAAAATATACACTGGAGTAATAACAGTCTCTTCAACAAGTGGTACTGAAAAAACTGCACAGATACATGCAAAAAAAATGAAACTGGACCATTTCTCTTACACCATATAAAAAATAAACTCAAAATAGATTAAACATTTAAATATAAGGCCTAAAACCATAAAACTCCTGGAAGAAAACAAAGGAAGTAAACTATCTGATATCAATCTGCGTAATATCTTTTTGGACACATCCCCTCGAGCAAGGGAAACAAAAGAAAAAATAAACGAATGGGATTACATCAATCTAAAACCTTCTGCACAGCGAAGGAAACCTTCAACAACAAAAAAAGGCAACCTACTGAATGAGAGAACATATTCACAAATGATATATTTCATAAGGATTGATATATCCAAAATACATAAGAAACCCATATAATTCAATAACAAAAAAATAAACAATCCAATAGAAAAATGAGCAGAGGACATAAGACATTTCTCTAAAGAAGATATACAGATGGCCAAAAGACATGAAAAGACACCGAACATCACTAATCATTACAGAAATGCACATCAAAACTACAACGAGATACTACCTCAGACCAGTCAGAATGGCTTTATCAAAAAGTCAACAAATAATATGTGTTAGTGAGGATGTGGAAAAAGG